CTTGTGACGTAGTGTATAATTGGTTCATTTCTCTGTTGCCACCTGTTGTACTTGATCATCTATTTGATTGTAATTGCTAAGTACACACGTCAAATAAAGTAAATTATACTTTAGACTGAAATCCTTTATTTATTTACATATTGAACAGCTACTTAAGCAAAAAATGTTTTGAATTTCTAATACGAAACCTGATAAAGGAATTGAGTTTTTTTTCCCTACAAAATCTGATTTTCTAATCCTTATATCTTTGTAACCCGATGTCGTAGATAAAATAGTTTGTTTGAAATATTAAAGGTTGCAAAGATATAGGATTAGAAAATTTGAATTTGTGGCCAAAATCGAATACTTTCGCTTTCATCATACTTATGAGTAAATTCAAACCGAGATGGTTACAAGCTCAGAAAGCCATACCAATGATATCGCATAACACTTTTTTCACAATAGTTGGTATGTAATTAGGTTAATTTAAAAAAATAATTGATTATAGATTTCCGAAAGTAGGTTAAAAGTTTCCAAAAGTAAGGTTGTTTATAAGGAAAAGGGGGAATAAATTGTTCTCAAGTAAGTTGATGATAAAGGTTCTAATTGGTACATGAGGTACATAAATACATTACAACAGTGTAAAATTATGTATCTACTTAAATGATGATATATATAATATCTATATATAATATATATAATGATATATAATATATCTATCCTATCTCTCTAGTCTCTATGTATCTATCTATCAAAGATTCTTTTTTAAAGATAAAGTAAGTTTAATGAGTAAGATTAATTAGTAAGATTAATGAGTAAGGTTAATGAGTAAGGTCACTGAGTAAGGTTAATGAGAAAGGTTAATTAGTAAGGTTAATAAGTAAGGTTAATAAGTAAGGTTAATAAGTAGGTTTAATGATTAAGGTTAATGAGTAAGGTTAATGAGTAAGTTTACTGAGTTAGGTTAATGAGTAAGGTTAATAAGTAAGATCAATGAGTTAGGTTAATGAGTAAGGTTAATAAGTAAGATTAATGAGTAAGGTTAATGATTATGGTTAAGTAAGGTTAATAAGTAAGGTTAATAAGAAAGAATGAAAAAGGATAACTAGTATGGTTAATGATAAAGGTTAATGATCTAAGGTTAATGAGTAAGAATGAATAATGAGCAAGGTTAAAGGTTAAAGAATAATGAGTTAAATTTAAGGGTAATGGTAAAGGCTTACTATGTAACTTTAAAGAGTGTTTAATAAGTATTTAGTTCATGATAAGGTTAATCAGTAATAAATGTTAATGAAAAGGTTATTGAGTAAGGTTAATGAGTAAGGTTAATGAGTAAGGTTAATGAGTAAGGTTAATAAGTAAGGTTACTGAGTAAGGGTAATGAGTAAGGGTAATGAGTAAGGTTAATGAGTAAGGGTAATGAGTAAGGGTAATGAGTAAGGTTAATGAGTAAGGTTAATTAGTAAGGGTAATGAGTAAGGGTAATGAGTAAGGTTAATGAGTAAGGGTAATGAGTAAGGGTAATGAGTGAGGGTAACGAATGAGATTGTCAGAAAAAAGAGTCCTGAAAATAAATTGTTATTTATTGTAATATTGTAATATTGTAATATTGTAATATTGTAATATTGTAATATTGTAATATTGTAATATTGTAATATTGTAATATTGTAATATTGTAATATTGTAATATTGTAATATTGTAATATTGTAATATTGTAATATTGTAATATTGTAATATTGTAATATTGTAATATTGTAATATTGTAATATTGTAATATTGTAATATTGTAATATTGTAATATTGTAATATTGTAATNACCCACTGCACCTCGCTAAAAGTTGGGTATTATTAGACGAAACGCTGGCAACGAAAAAGAGAATCACCGCTTTTACTCATGCTGGAAATCAAACAAAAAATCTTGACAAGAATTTCAAATCCAAAAACTGTTAAGTTTCGAGTAAAAATCTCAAAATAAAAATGTGAAGTTGACCCAACCCTGGAGCATGAAGCCGGTGAGTACAAGTTGTTTATCGTAACCCTGTAAGCAGAGGAATGTACCGTTGCCTGGGTGACGAGGGGGGAGAAATGGAAAAATTTAAGTTTCATCGGGTTTAAATGCAAACTAAGCTTCTTAGTACTCAAGGTGGTTGAATATTTACGCCTAGCAGTATAAATACAATTATTCACTACATTACAATACTAAGAACGGGGTAGGACGTATTGAAACCTTCTCAGAGTCAGGCCTTCATGAGATCCATTTAAAACTTGTATTACAGATTTAGGACGGATATAAATAAAATATATAAACCTGTAGGATGGATATATAAACCTGTAGGACGGAAATATAAACCTGTAGGATGAATATATAAACCTGTAGGATGAATATATAAACCTGTAGGATGAATATATAAACCTGTAAGGATTGAATATATAAACCTGTAAAGTAATAATATATAAAAACGTATAAGGCTAATATATTAAACTGTACTCTGACCCTGTAGGACGGATATAAAAACCTGTAGGACGGATATAAAAACCCGTGGGACGGATATGAAAACCTGTAGGACGGATATAAAAACCTGTGGGACGGATATGAAAACCTGTAGAATAGACCTGTACACTGACAGGACGGGAATATAACCCTGTAGGACGGATATGAAACCTGTGGAATACACCTGTACACTGACAGGACGGATATGAAACCTGTAGGACGGATATGAAAACCTGTAGGACGGATATATAAACCTGTACACTGACAGGACGGGAATATAACCCTGTAGGACGGATATGAAACCTGTGGAATACACCTGTACACTGACAGGACGGATATGAAACCTGTAGGACGGATATGAAAACCTGTAGGACGGATATATAAAGCTGTAGAGGATGGATATGTAAACCTGTAAGACAGATATAAAAACCTGTAGGACGGATACATAAACCTGTAGGACGGATAAATGAAAACGTAGGACGGATTAATAAAAGCATGTGAAAGGATTAATGAAACTGTAGGTCGTATAGATGAAACTGTAGGAAGGATAGATAAAACCGTAGGACGGATAAATGAAACCGTGGGACGGATAAAGGAAACTTTATGAAGGATAGATAAATCTGCAGGACGGATAAATAAACCCGTAGGACCGATAAATCAAACCGTAGGACGGATCAATGAACCTGTAGGAAGGATAAATTAAACTGCAGTACGGATAAATGAAACTGTAGAACAGATACATGAAATTTTATTTATAAACTGTAGGACGGATAGATGGGATTGTAGGACGGATAAATGGAACTGTAGAACGGATAAATGAGACTGTATAACAGATAAATGGCAGTGTAGAACGGATAAATGGAACTGTAGAACGGATAAATGAGACTGTGTAACTGATAAATGAGAGTGTAGAACGGATAAATGAGACTGTAGAAAGGATAAATGGGAGTGTAGAACGGAAAAATGGGAGTGTAAAACGGATAAATGGCCCGTAGAACGGAAAAATGGGAATGTAGAACGGTTAAATGGGACTGTAGAATGGATAAATGGGAGTGTAGAACGGTTAAATGGGACTGTAGAATGGATAAATGGGAGTGTAGAACGGTTAAACGGGGCTGTAGAATGGATAAATGAGAGTGTAGAACGGTTAAATGGGACTGTAGAATGGATAAATGGGAGTGAAGAACGAATACCTTGCCTAGTAATTCTGCGGGTTTAGGGCTGGATTGCTGGATCAATGAGAAGTTCTACCGTATTTATTACGTCACAAGGAGAGTATTGTCTCGGTTAAAAATCTAGGATTTTGCTCAGGAGCTGGACAGAAATACACGCAATCAAACCTTGATTTCAACTTCATTTAATCCTGCACCTTGTTCAAAAACAATCTTCTTCACGGTTCTTATTCATAAACTATCCTTTAATCCAGTGTACAGCCACATTACTAGTAAACCCAAGTTGTAGTTCTTAAATTATTATACTTTTTTCAATTTCATCCTTCCTTTTTCCACCATCCTCCTAGTTCTATTTCCTATTAAAGCTGCATTTTTTTATTTTGAATTAAATTGACTGTATAAGTAATTCCAAGTGACTCTCCATTTATAGAGTGACATGTCGGATTCACAACAATAACTTTTAACCCTTTATCTGATCATTAACGGGAATATGATGGATATCTCATGTACTCCTGATCAGGCAAACATTTTAATGATATAGTTGTGAATCGGACATGCCACTCTGTAAGAAGAGTCTCTTAAAAATACGTTTGCAGTCCCTTTAAGATGTTGGTACGGAAGGATTCAGTTATGGATTAATCCTTTAGTTCTTGGTTATCATTTCATTTATTTGCATTCTCCTGATATACAGTTTTCCATTTATACACTAATTATAAACAGAATTATTGTTTAATTGAAGTTTAGCAATCCTTGTTCTCAGTTAATGTATCCTTGGAACCTGAGGCAGCTATAAGGGAATGTTAGAGAAGGTTTAGAGTTTAAAGGAAACCTTATAGTTTCCCTGGTCATAATGCGGCAGAGTAGGAGGGTTCTCCGATACTAGGATTCTCCGCTAAAACACCTGTCCTAGCTCCCTCCCCCCTTGGGAGCACTGCGACACGATATACTTCGTATATCTGGCCTATATCTAGACCAAGGGTTCAATACTAGAACTTTACCAATACCTAGACCTGGTTCACAACTTGATCAATGGATAGATCACGAGATTATAGAGAAACTAAGTAATTACAGAATAAAACCTAGATTGTGTCGAGTTCAATGTATGTGTCAGGCCTATACGCTAGGATTAAGGATTGCTTAAGTGAAACTGTACAAGCCACTAGAGCATTATAGGCTGTAACACATAGCAACAACTAATTTTAACTCAATCAACGTAAAGAGAAAAAACAAGTTTTAACACTATGAAATTCTACGTGTTATTCTGAACACATATCCTTCGAGTAGACAGTAGTTATAACAGCGTTATAGGAGTCAAACCCTAATTGATTTAATTAGATAACGAGTTTAATAATCCTACCTTAAATCTGGGAATATATTTGCAGTTGTAGATGAGCAGAGTGGGTTGAGAATATAAATCACTATGACGTAACCTTGTTGTATGGGCGCTCTCCCGTTGAACACGTAACTGCAGAAAACGCGCGGAACAGCAGGGGACAACTCCGGGACGGGTCACACTGCTGGTCAGGAGAAGATACAGCCGGCGTAGTTAATAGGCCCTCCACGACAGGGTTGAGAGGGGGGAGGGGGAAGGAACGTATATCTCCTGTCTAATGCTCGGGTTCGCTCTAACTGCTGCAGTTTCTATCCAGTCCGAGTCTCTCTTCAGCAGCGTGTTAGCAGGGCCGCAGCACGAAGGTGGGACAGCGCGATATAGGGTGTCCCCGAATATATCCTTACAATGAAAGGGTGTGACTTAAATAAATTCAACCAGAGAAAGGTTTTAATAACTACATTATTCATAAAAGACACCTGTAAGTAAATCAAGGGATGATATGCGGACGACCGGGGGTGTGTAAATATTAGACCCCGGGTCATAAAGTTGGCCAACAGGTTACAGGGTGTATCCTAATTGTTTATCTGAATGCAAAATGATCTATTCGTTGTATTCATATCTGTAACAAAACTGCTGCATACAATAATAAAATACAATATATGAACGCATATTTTCTTTAGGTACAAGGTGGTACATGTACTGCATACAGGATGAGAGGATGGACTTTAGTCTAAATTATGAAATAGACGATTTGTAAACTTGTAAACAAAAGTATATGCATGTTTTACCTAGGCTATTGTCTGTGAAGCGAAGGAATAAACTCTCAAGTTATTGATATTGATCTAGCTTTAACAACTCTTGTATCTTTACATTCCCAAACTAGGATCGGATATACTGAGATTTTATAATAAAAAGGTATTCAGTGTAAACATGGACATTGATATGCATAAGTATCCGTAACATTATTAAGAAATATCTTAATGTTACAGATTACAGAATCTCAAAAATCGTTTCAACATTGGACAGAAAACGATCTCCAAGACACTTATCCTTTATGTTAACCATGGGGATGTAACAGTTTTTAATTTTGTTACAATTCTCAACAAGTTGTAACAGGTAACAAACATTCGCACACACATATATATATATACTGTATACTGTATACATATGCTTTATACACTGTGTAAGTACTTACATTGTATATATCCACACACAATTGTTTATTATCTTTGTATCTTTTTTTAAACTATTTGAAATTGTCTATTTTTGCAAACTTAACTCTAACAGGATAAATAAAGATACTTCTATAACTGTATCTATAATATAAAGTCAGACAAATCTGGATTTATGTTTAGAACCAACTTTTCAAATTGAGATTTGATAAACGTGTCATACAAGACAGCTTTGTATTAAGTTAACGTAACAGAAATAATTGCTATGATAAAGAGAGTTAATCGAAAATTTTAAGTTTTTTATGAACCATAACTTAGACAATTTAATTTTTGCGAACACGCCCTTAGGAAATGATTTGTTTATAGGACTGTAGATCTGCTATTGCTCAATCTCTAGATCAAACTGTCCATCTTCCCATTAATTGTAATTCTTAGACTCTGAGTTATTAAAAAAACTTTTTCAAACTTAACCATGTGCATTACGTTTTTTATGTATGCTATGAAATCTTTTTTAAAAATCCTACATTAATTCAATCAACTGAGGTCAAGTTCCATTATACTTTTCATCGAGAAAAGTCGAGCTTTTAGAACGAAACCATAATGCATTTCAAATCTGATAAGGGGGGGGGGACGGCTTCTAAATCGTAGACATTGCTTTTTTTATAAGATAAAATCATAACAACTTTTTATTAAAAAATTAAAAAATCAAGAGTTAGAAAATCAGTTTTAAAAATCTATAATTAAAAATAAGATTTTTACTTTCATATTCTATTTATGAATTTATTAAAATAGGAAAACAGTACTAATTTACAAAATTCAGTTTTAATACAATCGGACAATACAGACCCTGAAATTAACAGTTTTAGTTTTAAAAAATGTTTTTATTTTTTACTTCATCTTTGTTTTTATAAAAACTTTGGTAAACACAAAACTTTCCAAAGATTTAGTGTAAGTCACTTTACAAAAAAATGTTTGAGATATTTTATAAATTTTAATTTAAACATTGACCTATCCACTTAAAACTTGTAATTAACTCTTTTATTAAAATAATGAAGACAATTCTTGGCTTTTTATTTCGTAAGATTATACAATTTATTCATAGATTGTGTTTTTGAAAATATCAAACTTCAACGAAGAACAAAAATTATAAAAAGTTTTTTTTTACAATATTAGAATAATTATACTTTAGTTTACAAGATTAGCCAGTTAATTAATCTAATGACCTAATTAGTTCTTAATACAGAGATTTAAACTTCAATATATCAGTATATCCTATAAATTGGAACATATTATAAAAACTTGTATGTTGAAATTCAAAACATATCTCTAAAGTTTTTTTAAGTCGATTCAAATGGCAGAACAGTTCGAATACTTTCAAAGATATTAAATAAAAGAGGAACGGGAGGGGGGGGGGGGTTGACGATACAAGATTTGTTATGAAGGGGGGGGACAACAAAAGTTTTAGGAAAGGGGAAAAATTGTTGATCAGTGTAATTGGAGCTTAGACATTTTAAAATATGAATTCTGTTAGATCAAATAATCTATAAGTTTAGATATCAATGGTTTAAACAATTAGGTTGCAAAGATATAAGGATTAGAAAATTTTAGTTTGTGTCAAAGACTGAAATCCTTTTAGGAGAAAAACATGGTCAGGTGTTCTTAAACTAATAGGAAAGGAATTTAATTTTAGGAACGCCAGGGGTGTCTACTTGCCCCCTCAGGAGGGGGGAGGAGGGGATAGCATGCAGCAAGTCCAACAAGGTTAAAGAACTATATCCGTTGAAGAAAGGATGATTTCAGTTTTGTTATTCATCCTGGGCAGAGAACCAAGCTTGGAAGTAAAGCTGAGTATCTAAACCCTCCAAGCGTCTCTCTCTCCCCCCTTACGATTATGATCAAACTTGATATATCCTCGTCCTCCCATTAATGTTATCACAGTTCTTTGTTGATCTTTGTCCTTTTCCTTCCCTCCTCCTCCTCCTCCATGTGGCTGGGATCGTATCTCTCTGCCTAGCTACGGGGGTGTTCCTCTGCAAAACGAGGCCTCCTTCTCTCCTCTCCCTAATCCAACCAAACTGTTCATACAACTTCATGTTTGTCAGTCTGTGTGTCTGTTCTGTCCACTTTATCCCCCCAACCCAACCATCCAGACTAGAAACCATCATCTCTCAAAATAATAAAAAAAATCGTTATGAAACCACGTGGATAATATTAAAACTCTGTAACCAGTTCTCAGGACTAAACCATGATTAATTATTTCACAACAGTTTATTCAAGAAATATATTAACCGATTTCAATTAGGTATTTTTATTTTGTTTTATGTAAATCATTTTAGAGGAATTACAGAATTTAATATTTTATATTTATCTCACATTTCCGATGCAGAAATTATCTTCATTTTTAATATTTTAATCTAACACTTGAACGAATTTACAATAGTTCAAACAGTACACGCGCCTTGATCAGCTTTGTAAAATAAAAACGCTTACTCCGTAATTATATTCTCTTGGGAAACTCTAGAGATTGCTAACGTCAACTCCATAATTCTTGGTATTCTCTTAAAAATCCAAGGACTGCATAAGGCTGACTCTATAATCCTATATTCTCTGTGGAAACTCTACTCAATACTCGTACACTTAGTCAAACAAACACACACCACACACTTGAGTCGATGGAATCCTTTGTATAATTGATATTGATGAAGAGACCTGGATAGATGCTTCTCATTCAGGGGAGAAAGGGAGGTTTCTAAACCCGCCTTCTCAGGGTAGGAACTACAGAGTAGGAGAGAAAGGGAGGTTTCTAAACCCGCCTTCTCAGGGTAGGAACCACAGAGTAGGAGAGAAAGGGAGGTTTCTAAATCCACCTTCTCATGGTAGGAACCACAGAGTAGGGGAGAAAGGGAGGTTTCTAAACCCGCCTTCTCAGGGTAGGAACCAAAGAGTAGGGGAGAATGTGAGATTTCCTAACACGTCTTCTGAGGATATAAGCAGAGTAGGAGAGAAGTTGAGAATTCAAAAACCTTTTTTTTATAGAGTAGAAATGCAATAAAGGAGAGAAGAATTCTCAACTCGCCTTATTAGGGCCATAGTAGTAGGGGAGAAGAAGTCTAAACTCTGCTTATTAGCGTAGGAACCGGAGAAGGGGAGAAAGTAAAGTTTCTAACCCCACCTTCTCAGGGTAGGAACCATAGTAGGGGAGGAAGAAAGGTTTCTAGGAACCAGAGAAGGAGAGAAAGAGAAGTTTATAAATTCGTCTTCTCAAGGTAGGAGCCAGAGAAGAAGAGTAGGGATGTTTATAGGGAAGAAACCAGAGATGGAGAGAAAGTGATATTTATAAACCCGCCTTCTCAGGGTAGGAACCAGAGTAGGGGGAAAGGAAGGTTTCTCTGGATAGGAACCATGGAATAGGGGAGAAAGCGATGTTTCCAACCCCATCATCTCAGGGTCACTGCAGAAGAGTTGGAGAGAAGTGGAGATTTCGAATTCCTTTTCTCAGGGTAAAACTAGCGTAGAAGAGAAGAATTCTAAACCCGCCTTCTTAGGTTTGTAACCAGATTAAGGGAGAAAGGGAGGTTTCTAAACCACTCGATTTCTCAGAGTATCCATTAGGGTATGAAGAGAAGTTGAGATTTTAAACTCTTGTTCTCAGGGTAGAAACCAGAGTAGAGAAAAAGAAGTTTAACCCTGCCTTCCCAGCGTAGAAACCAGAGTATAGGGGAGAATGGACAAATTCTGAACTCTCGTTCTGAGGATATAAAGCAGAATAAGATAAGGAAAGATATTTTTTAATCCGCCTTCTCATGGGATAGGAACCATGGAGCTGAGTTGGGGAGAAAGGGAAAGGTTCTATTTCCTTCTTTTCAGGGAATGCAGTTAAGTAGGAGAGACTTGGGGAATTGTAGATCATTTTCTCAAGGTAGGAATCAGAGTAGGGATGAAGAGAAATATTCAAAATTCTGCTTCTCAGCGTATATAAAGCAGAGTGGCATGTGGAAAAAGATAATTCTAAACCTTCTGAGATTAAGAATAAGAAGATTAGTCTAATTTTAAAACTGAAGAGTAGGAGAGAAGGAGAGAAGTATGAACTTGCCGTCTTGTGACCATGGAGACTTAATGGAAGATTCTAAACCTGCATTATCAG